GGTCTGTTTAGCCTGGGGAAGAGAAGGGGATCTCACCAATGCTTTTAAATATCAAAAGGGCAGGTGTCAAGAGGATGGGGTCAGGCTCTTCTTAGTGGTGCCTGGTGACAGGACAAGGGGCACAAGTTGGAACACAGGAAGATCTGTCTCAACACATGGAAAAACTTCTTTACTGTGAGGGTGGCAGAGCACTGAACAGGCTGCCCAGAGACAGGGTGGAGTCTCCTTCTCTGGACATGTTCAAAACCCACTGCATGCATTCCTGTGCAACCTGCTCTCGGTGACCCTGCTTTGACAGGGGGGTTGGACTACATGGTCTCCGAAGGTCCCTTCCAACCCCTGCCATCCCGTGACTCTGTGAGTGTTTAAGAGTTAGTTCCACTTGTTGTCCAGGGGCTCAGCTTCTTTTCTGCATCAGTTTCTTATCTTTTTTGCCTTGTGGATTAGGGTAATCACACTGCCCTACCTGACACATGTTGGAAAAAAACACTTCGAAAATCTGAGGCATTTTGTAGTTCTGGAAGTGGTGACTTACAGAGAGTAACACAATATACTTCAGAAGATTGAAAAAATTGTGGTTGTTCAGGAGACCGTCATTGCTCCTTGTTAGATCCGCTCATGCAAAGTCTACAGTCCTTTTCTCTGTGTGAATACCTTTTTATTTGCCACGCAGACAACCAATGTCCCAAATAGCCCCACTTTTGAACTGGTGGTTTCCAAAAGTGTAGTTCAATAACTTCATTTAAACTGATCTAAATTTGGACCCCTGCTGAAAAGAAGATCCCATGATATATTGACACCTCTTTCTTTGTGCCAGCACTCGTGATGCTGCTGCTTTACACCGAGCTGACTCTGGAAGCTGATCTGGCTGAAAACTCTCCCAGCCAAAGTTGTGGGGGAACCAATTTTCAGCCTGTTTGTCAAACTGCGTCTGAAACGGCAATACAAGTTCCAGCTACAAAAACGTATTGCTTGTGTTGTCTTCTTATCACCAATTTTGCATCATTAAGTGTTATGCATTCTTGGCCTGATGTAGTTGCAGCAGATTGCACACATGAACTGTTAATTATTTTATTTTTAAAACAGAAATTGCGGAACAGGCAAATAACATTCCAACATGTTTGCTTTTGGAGCCTACCTACCACGACAATCTGTTAGTTTGATAATGGTTAAACTCGCAAGCCCTTGCCTCGACAGGGTGCAGTAGGGTACCATTAAGGCAGCCATCTGTTGAACATATACTGGAGGCACAAATTGCCTTGCGTTTTGGGTTCCTGACTAGTTATAATGCAGTCGTGATCTCTGGGTGCCGCTGATCTGCACTGAAAAATGCAGGGAGGCATCCGAGTTCAGTGAAAGGTGAGCATCCAGATTTGGGATCGGTGACTGGGAACCCGTCAGGGGAGCACTAGGTGTGGAACGGAACCATGAGGATGAAACCTCGTGGGTGTACACGTGCTTCTCAGTGGCAAGTGTCTTCAGCTGCTTTGGTTGCTTAGCGATTCAACAGATCTGTAAAACTCCATTTGCAGACCAAGGCTACCATTATGTTGGATTGATTCATCAGGATGAGCAGCTAAAACAAGTTAAATTCTATCAGAGTTTTCCTGCATTCATTTAAAAATGAATTTAGTTGGCTCTAAATGGACATTTGTTTTAGTATCTTGAAGAACTGACTTTCCTCTATTAAAGCAGAATAATGTATCTATATGGTGCCCTAACTTGAACAGTACATAAAGATTAGTAAATAAGACCCCATTAAAAATACTTATAATGTAAGTAACATGGGTCCCAATAGCCTTTCTAATGTCCATTAATGCTTATTCTGAGGATCAGAGCTCATTTTACTGAGCCATTTAGTCAAACCGTGTGATTATTTAGAAAGTTAATTCATGCATACTAAAATCTAGCTTAAGTAATGCAGAGGGTAGGAGGTAAAACTCTATGGAGACGATAGTCCTTTTTGTTATTTAATGATCAGCCATAATTAACTTGCAAATTTGAAATAATTAGAACAAATTAAAGGTATTTAACTTTGCCTCCCTAAAGAAAAATTCAAATTGCACCAAATGCAGCTTTAAATTATTCAAGTCTCAGAGGTCTGTGCTGGGTTTTTTTACAATGCCTTTTCTATGATGAGAATACCAATCTGCTTTTTGTCAGAAAGCATCCTATCAAGTAATTGTTCTTTGTGTCTAATAAATGACAGCTATTCTTCTTTGTAAAAGTATTTCAGTCTCTGAAGACTACATCAGCATTTCCATGGCATTTTAATTCAATAAAACAAAAGGTTAATGTTTTTCTACTTTTTAAGGAATGCAAATACTAGCAATATTCAATGGGTCCTGAATGACATTTAAAATTTGCCATTCACGCTCAGCAGGGATATCGCGATATGAGGCTCGAACAAACTGGAAAAAACATTCAAGGTGTGCTTTCCTTTGTTGGTGGTGCACTTCGAGATGTGTAAGGAGGCAGCAGGCAGGACTCCCTTCTTTTCTGGTGATGCTACTCTACAACACTTGCCTTTGTATATAGGTTAGGTAGGTTAATAAGGTCTTTATTTAGACGGTCTTCTCTGTTGTGTAGTTTCAGGGAATAGCATGAAAATTCATAGGACATTGTGGTGCCCTGCAGGAGGTTCTACTAACCACACTGCATTTGAATGATACCATGGATTGCTGGATTTGAAATTAGAGAAGAATCTGTTTTGTCACTTAATCTCTACCTATACATAACTGATCCATTTGGACCATATGTTAGCTTGACATTTTCCAGGTTGCAATAGTCACTTTATTCATTTTACTAATTATTCCATAGGTGAATGAGTAACTATGTTCTGAAATAAGTAAATTTTTTTTCCCCTTAATTTTTTTCTTTTTTAATTTTGGTATGTTGTTAATTATTAGATTTTTATATGTCTCTGCATTATCCGTTTCCTTCCTTAGTCTGCAGACCTGTCAGATTGGGTGTTTGTCATTTTAAGATCGGTTTCTCTATCCTTACTTGAGCAAAACTTTAGTGTGAGCTTTCTTTTCTTAACCACTAAAGGAAGCAGGCTGTAATTGTTTAGTGACCTATAAATGCAAACACACTTGCTTTTGTTGTTTCCTCATAAATTAGCTCTGTACCTTCTTCCTTTTTCTGTTTGAATTGCCTCTGCCATAGTGTTATTTAAACCAGAACTCGGTATTCTAGAGGTAACCACACCATGTAAGAGGTATTGCAGTGAACCAGTTGAGTAATCACCTGCTCATCCACAAGCCAAAGGTCATTGTCTTCACAGCAGATCTGTAGGTTATAATTAAAGGTACTTTAAAAACTCAGAAAGCATCCAAATAATGACGACCTCAATGTTTTTAAATGCTGTTAATCACCCAAGTACAGGCAAATGGAATATCAAGTCCTGTATTATCAGAGAAGTCTGGTCAAGTATTACACCTTTAAGCCTCTACCAGGGTCCAAACCCACCTCTTGCTGTACTCTAGGTTGCAGGAATTAGTAGGTTATTAATTTAATGTAATTCAAATAAGATACTCATTTAGTCGACCATAAATTTTAAAAACACTTTGCAATATTATTACTGGCCATGCAGTTTGAAGCCCTAAAGTAAACGGGGGTTATTCAGAGACATTTTATCCAACACTTCAGCCAGTTATTACAGGTCATGAGCCATTATATAATGTTCTGCATTAATAATACAGGAGTAATACTAATTGTCCAACAGGCGCAGTGGGCCCTATTAAACAATGGCTTATAGAGCACATTGATTTGAAACTTTTAATTTAGCTATCATGTTCTGATGGGAACATCAGATACCTGCTTTTTCCTCAGATGTACAGTAACTCCAGTAGTGTAAGCTTTTACGTATACGATACTTGTGAATCAACGTCCACAAAGCTATTTCCCAAATAATACAGACTCAATGGCAGTCTGCAGGTTGCCTGTGTAAAATTGGTGCTTAAACAGGAAAAAGATTTCTGTAAAAGTCTTCTGTTAACTTAAGAAAGCTGTATGTCATTCCCATACTTGCAAGCAGAGCAGTATAATCTTGGAAGGAATTGTATTCCTTCATGTGGAAAATCTAAAGATTTTTTTTAATGGTTTTAATTGCTTTTTATAATGGTGATGGGGCTAATGATGTATACATGTTGGGAATCCTCATTTAAAGCAGTAGTTGTTTCCTAGAAAGCAGAATTTGAAAGCAGAGAGGTGGATCTCTGTAGCCTCCTGTCTTCCCAAAACGTTTTGTGGTTGCCTGGGTCTGCAGAGACTGAAATCCTGCTCACTCCACATCACCAAAGTTTCTCCTGAATCTGTCTGTGCAGTGTTCGCGATCTTGTGCAGAAGTTTATCTTGAACCATGCTGGTTCTGGTTAGCTGTCTCATCTCTTACTCTACTCAAACTGCTGCACTTGCTGCACCAGATAACTCTCCCACCATTTTGCCCATACATTCTCTGTCATGCTTGCAAGTACCTCTGTTGGTTCATCTCACCTCTTCTTGTCTTGTCTCCTCTCACCCCTCTTCTTCTTAAATCAATGTATCATCACCTTCCCTTTTGCAAACCACAACTCCATTTTTCTCTTCACATGCTCTTCTCTGTCTCCCTTTATCCTGGCAAAGTGAGCATTTTTTTTAATTACTTTTTCTTCCAACCCTGCTCCACCGTTCTGTATCTTCATCCCACTTGTCCTGCCCTAACCACTCAGGAAATCTAGGACCTAATGCTTAAGGAAATGTGCGAAATGCCACAAAATTCCAAATACAATTGTGAGAGTGCTGCCAGGTGCAGATAACTAAAGACTTGTGCTGAAGTAGGCTGTTAACTCTCCAATCCTCAGGCATCCTGCTCCTCAGACATTGTAAATGGATTCAGCAAGAGCTTAACCATCAGCACGACGGTTATGCTCCTGGAGGGCGAGCTGGGGAGAGGGCGGTGTGCCGGGTTAAAAGGGCTGAATGCCTTAGGTAATAGTGTGACCTTTCTTTCCTCCCAGTGTGCCGCTGTTGAAACACGAAGATTATTTTCTGAGGACACCACCAGTGAGCAAAACCTCCAGAACACCAGGGAGTAGCGGTGGGAGCGGCTCAGGGAAGAAAATGCTTGGTTTTGGTGCAAACGTGGAAGACGGGCGAGCCCTTCTGATGCAAACCAAAAGGGAAGGCACCAAGTCAAGGAAAGGTAAGGAGAAGCTTACTGTATTGCAGAGCCATGAGTGTGCTGATGGCATTTAGATATTTTATATAAGTGTTCAGGACCATATCAACAAAATGCAGAGTTAGAGGGAGAGGATTGAAAGTTGCTTAAAACAAGCTAAGAGAAGGTAGCTACTTTAATAAAAAGCATAGAAAGCCCTGTAAATAGCAAGTGATCTTCTTGACTGGTACCCCTGATGAAAAGGAAAAAATAGGCCTTTAATCTCAGAAAGCTACTTCAACAATTCTTTTTCCTTTCCCAGCAAATAGAGAATAAGTGCAGTGGGGCTTGCTCTTGGAATGTAATCTTTTTCACATTCTTTTCCTCCCTAAGTAATGGCTCCACCATCACAACCTGATATTTTGCCACACAGGGATGTCTGTAGAGCCAAAATCTATCCTGCTCTTAGTACTTCCACTTAGCTTAGTACCTCCACTTAAGGGGCAGAGAAGCCATCTTTCTTAGGAAGAGAAAGGGTTGGGAACAAAAGCGGCTTGGATGTTTCACTGCCAAGCCTTGAACATAATCCTTGGTTCAATTATGAACTAGCTTTTTTTTTTATTTTAACTTGTCAGCCAGTTTGCCGTATGTGTCAGCATAAAAATAAAGAAAATGGCAAAATGAGAAGAAATGTGGTACAGTTCTCAAAGGAACAAATAACTTGTGTTATTGGTTAAGACCGTACCTACATTAAAAAGCAGTCCCTGTGAAGAAACTTTCAAAAGGGTATCATCAGCCTGGACCCAAACAGTGGCTGAGGTTAATCTCTTCCAAGGCACAGCTACAAAAGTTGGAAGCCTGTAAAGGGCTTGTGTCCAAAAAAATCAATTTCTAATTTGAAACAAAATCATTTTTGACTAACAGGGGTTCAGGACCCATTACTTTTGCTGTATAGTCTGCTGACATTTCACACTTTCTGTTGTGCACAATGAATCCTAATAGTCATTTTATAACATTGCTACACCAATCAATTTAAGCAAGAGAAAGCCGTTACAATTCTGCAAAGTTTCAGGGGCAATTTTCACTGATGGTTTTCTTTTATGTTTTTTTCAGCTATCATTATTTTTTTCTTCTCTTTTCCTCTTCCTTCTCCCCCCTCCTTCTCAATACTATAGTGATGAAATTGAGATTTTTCACAGTTGGGTGATGGGTTTTGTTCCTTAGATAGGGATAGTCCCCAAAAAGTAATTTATTTTCCATAGATTCGGAGGGAAAAAAAATCCAACCTGACCTCTCCTTCATTCATTCATTTCATTTTGTAGTACTTAGGAGAAGTTACAAGCTACACCTGGCTATTGCACGTAAGAACCGAGCTGCACCTATGCTGATTTAGTGGTAGTAGTGGTCAGCATAATGCCTGAAGATGGTGGGTATCTTTTGCAAACACTTACTGGGATTGCTGGCTTTGAAGATGTAGAGCTGCATGGCAAAATTTAACTTATAAACATTGGCACTTGCTGTGATACCAGATAGAGTTCAGAGAAATGCTTTCAAGCTGTGGAACAACCTCGGGTCTATTACTGATTTGAATGGCTTGTTTATCACGAGGCAAATTACCTAGCACTAATCACCGAAGTTGAAGTCTTCTGTATTTAGTACCTTTTTAATTGGCTTCCTTCTGTTATATGTTTGGACTCCTTTAACAAGCATACACACATACTTGTAAAGTTTTTTTTCCATCTTTAAGGATCACCAGGGCACAATGTCAAGTTTTTTAATTCTAGTTAGCTCTGGTCTTAGCTGTTTCTGTCCTTGCTTCTGCTGGGTTTTCCCGTCTGTTGCTGACCTGGGGTTTCTGCTTCAGGATTTATTTATCTTTTTCTTAGGAAGCAATTGTGTAGCATCTCGCAAAAGTACCATGAGGGCTGCTAACATTGTTTTCTGTGATCAAATTTATAAAAATATGGCGTTGGCCTTACTGCATCAGAGTGCTGAGCCAGCAAGCCTGGGGGTCTGTCTCGGGCAGTGGTCAGTACCTGTTGTGTCACTGTGAAGTGAACCCTCTACTGCAGTGCATTTACCTGAGCTATGGCTAAGCCACGTGATGTGGGAAAGGGGAATGAAGTCAACAAGATGACATCTTGAGGCATGAAATGATGTTATTTAGCCACATACCTTAAGGTGGCCTTTTGGTCAGAAGACTGCAGTGCTGGGTACTGTACACAGAAACATACCTGCTGAAAACTTCCTCACGGTCAGGTGTTAACCTATTGCTGCAGAAGTTTGTTTTTCTCATGCCTTGATCTGTCTATTCTATTTAAATTGTATATTCTTCAGGAGGGAGATTCTCTCCAAGCACACCTTAGTGCACTGTCAGTGCTGTTGTAGGTCTTTGGGCTCACAATATAGTCTCCCTGTACCACTGGGAATGGTGGGTGTTTCTGGAGGATGGTGCAACTCTTGATAGTGTCCCTCCACAGCAACTTAGGCAGCTCTATGAGGTTTTGGTGGGTTCTTGTTCAACTACCTTTGTCATATTACATTTTTTTGTTTGTTTTTTGAGAAGATAAAATGACTGATCTGGAGACCATTCCGATGCTGGAATGGTGGAAGGCTTTACCACCCACAGGACTGGTCACTTACTGTGCATGCACTGAGTTTGGAAAGGGTGATTTCCTAATAAACCCACTTTTCCTTTCTCCCTGCAGATGTTCAGTAATGGGGAGAAGAGCATTGTTAACCTGGTCCCATCACCTCGTGGAGTGAAAGGGGCACCTCTGCTCTCTTCTCAGGGTAGAAGTTTACTGGATCAGCTCAGGCAATCAGCTTTTATTCTCTCACTGTTGCTTTTTTGTGTCCTATTTCTGTTTGCTCCTTAATTTTTATTCCTGTGCTTTAGCAGGTGTTTGTGTCTTGTAGCCAAACTTTTTTAGTTTTACCAGCAAAACTTTAAGCAGACAAAGCAATCCTCAACTCTTAGATCTTTTCAGCAGTAAATTGTTTTTATTGGTGTCACCAGCAGCTATGTCAATTTGTACTAAAATCTAACAACTTGTCTAGTTAAAAAGCACTGGAGTACAGAAATGTGTGTGTCTCTTCCTTTCTGCCCTGGAAAATTTTGCTTTTGGGCTGGGAAATCAGACTAGATTCTATACATTGCATTCTGCAATATTGGGCACTTGTCTGTGTTTCTGTTTTCTTTCTTTTCATGCCCTTTGTGAAATATCTCTGCATTGCAACAAAGAAAGAACTATTTTTCCCTTTGTATATCTTTGGGGGACAGAGCATCTGCATGATACTGTATAGCATGGGTAGCTTTCCTTTCCGTATGTAAAAGAAGAAGCCAGAGAAGGAAAATTACTTTAGCTTATAGAATCTGTACTTTTCCAGGGGCTGATTTTTCTCTATAGTGTTTGTTTTTCAGTAGCTTTTCTAATGTAGCTTCTTAGGGATTCAGGATCCGGAACTTCTTCCCTTGAGGGAAGACTCTTCCCTACAATCGAATAGAGCAATTAGTTAATATTAGTGAAGCGCTTTGAAGATGTGAAGTACTATATAAATGTTAAGTATTATGAATATTAGTATTATTCAATTCATAGAGATTTCTTTCATGATTATCAACCTAGATTTCCCTTTGCTTACTTTCATCCCATTACTGCTTGAACCAGCCTCAACTGTATTTCTTCATTCTTAATGTTTACACTTTTAAAATGTAGTCTGCTGTATTTCTCCACTTTCTTCATGTTTTAGTTGTCTGTTTCTCAAGCAGAAATATACAGCTATTTGAATTTTCTCAAATGAGTCTTTAATCTGCTTTAAATCATTCTTAAACCAAGTTAACCAAATTGAAAATAGTATTCTTAACATTACCATTTAGAAGACATCTATAATTGCTTTGGGGGTAGCTTGCCTTGCAAGCTTACATCTAGTTTGTTTTCATACCATATATGAACCTTTCTTTTTTTTTTGAGGGTGAATGTGTCTATTCTTTTTTTCATGTTTCTTGCTTCTCTAGATCATCTGCAAGGTCTCCAGTCTCATACTGTCTTCCAACACCTGCAAATCTAATTAATTTGCTGTCATTTGTATCACCCCACTTCTCTATGACTTTTCATAAATAATTACCAGTCACTTCATAAATTCATTAACTAATTCCCTTTAGCCCTGAAATAGATATCCTTCAGACTAAAGAATTTGTACCTTATTTTTTTCCGTGATAATTTCTTTTCATCAGATTTATATAGGCAGTATTATACATCAACATGGTCTTCATTATCTACTATTTGCTAATATTCCTTTACTTTTTTCTCATATATTTTATAATTATTACTAGCTTGGCCATTTTAGGATCGTTATTGATTTAATCTTGTTTGTATATTCATATACTTGCTTGCTCTTTGGTGTTTTTTTTCCCTCAGCCAACTTGTATGCCTTTTTCAGAATGTATTTTTAAACATTTTTTTGTTTATATATGCACTTATACAGAATTTCTTGCTATCCTGCTTTATGTCTGTGCAGCCTAACAGCCTCAGTAAATTCCTACTTAGTTCCTTTTCTAAGTTTCCATTTCTAGCCCTGGTAATATTTTCAGACTTGGGTCTTTGAACAGTCCCCTTGAGGCTGTACTGGCCACTTCCAAGTCCATATATTTTCTTTTTCTGAGAAATACATCTACTTTGCTATGAATGTAGTAGGTTGACAATGTGCCAGCCTTTTCGCATGTTAGGAATTGAATGCATTCTCCCATGCTTACCAGGTTTTTATTACTTCGATATTTCTTTCTTAAAATCCAGCAGCCTCATTCCACTGTCACGTGAAATGATTTCTAAATGTCTCATATTCCATCATAAAGCCAAAAGTCTAAGCAAGAGGCTTCCAGCCTTTATATGCATACCCACTCTTCTCACCATGGATTGGCACACTATCAAGTTACCAGGGACACACAATCAACATCTATCCCCATGACGTTTCTGAGCGTTCTTTCACTGATAATTAACTCTTTGTTAGGTGAGATTTTTTTCACTGCAAGGTACTGGAGCACAATGGCAGGGCAATAAGAACCCAATTTTTTTTGTTAACCTCCCTGGAACGCACCTTAAAACATGTGGGTTTACTATATTACTATGTTGTATGCATCTGTATTCATCTTAAGTCAATGCAGTATTTTAAGTAATCTTAATCCCTTAAACATCTGTAAATTTTTCGCTGAAACTGGAATTACAACCTTGTGTTGCTTCATATTTCAGCCTGGATGGTAGATAATGTTGTTGTTCACAGAGCTGAGAAATATTTAGGCATGACAGGATTACTTAAAGAGCTAAACACTGATTTGGCTTCAGTTTTTGCTGAGGCTTGTAATTTTCCCTGTATTTCCTGTTTAGTTAAGTGATGTTGATTGGACAGAGATAATTGGGCTATATTGAAAAAGCCCAAACCCTCAAGCTTTTTGTGCAGTAGATCAGACGACTCCCAGTTTGCCTGTTCCACTTTACCTCTGACTACTCCATGCAAGTTGTCTAACTAAATCCTGTCTATAAAACCCAGTTCTCAAGTGGGTGGGTGGAAGATGGGTGGAAAATCGGCTGGGCCCCCAGCACCAAGGGGCTGGCATCAGTCCAGCTGACAGCCAGTTGCTGGTGGTTAACCACCTGACATTAACAACCTGGACAGTGGGACAGGATGCACCTTCAGCAAATTTTGCAGACAACGCCAACTGGGGAAGTGCTCAATATGCGGGAGGGTAGGGACCAGTATTCCAGACACCTTAACAAGGGCTGGGAAAATGGTTTGACAGACACCAGTTTCGGTTCAACAAAGGGAAATCATAGAATCATAGAATGGTTTGGGTTGGAAGGGACCTTAAAGATCATCTAGTTCCAACCCCCCTACCATGGGCAGGGACACCTCCCACTAGACCAGGTTGCTCAAATAGCCATCCAGCCTGGCCTTGAACACCTCCAGAGATGGGGCATCCACAGCTTCTCTGGGCAACCTGTTCCAGTGCCTCACCACCCTCACTGTAAAGAATTTCTTCCTAGTATCTAACCTAAATCTCCCCTCCACCAGCTTAAAACCATTGCCCCTTGTCCTGTCGCTACTCTTCTTTGTAAAGAGTCCCTCTCTGGCCCTTCTATAGGCTCCTTTCAGGTACTGAAAGGCCGTTATAAGGTCTCCCTCCTTCTCTTCAGGGCTGCTCTCCAGCCATTCTCCGCCCAACCTGTATTTGTGCCTGGGATTGCCACGTCCCAGGTGCAGGACCTTGCACTTGGCTTGGTTGAACTTCATGCAATTTGCACGAAATGCCAGTTCCTTCAGCTGGGATGGATCTGTCTCATGTAATTGGGCCAACTGGGTGCTCACCTAGGAAGCAGTTTTGCCAGAAAAGAGCTAGGTGGCCTTCTGAATAGCAAGCCGAACATGAGTCAACAGTTTGTGTAATGGAGTAACCAAACCTCATACTGGGCCATAATAGCAAAAATGTGGTCATCAGACTGATGAAGTGACACTTACCCTCTAATAACCCTGGTGAGACTGTGTCTGTAGAGTGCTTATGTCCACTTTGGCGCTCCACAGTGCAAGGAGAGCGTTGGCAAACTGTGGGCAGTCTAGCAGAGCCAGGGGGCTGAAGCATATGACCTGCTGGAGGAGGCTGAGAAAGCTGGGCACGCTCAGCCTGAAGAAGAGAGATCTTCCCACTTTCTTCACTGGTCAGCCTCTAAGGAGAGGTCAGGCGCTGCAACAGCCTGCCCAGCGAGGTGGTGGAGGTATTTAAGAAACGTGTAGACATGGCTCTTCAGGGCATGCTCTAGTGCCCAAGATTATTGGTTTGTGGTGGGGTGTTGTGTGTGGGGGGGTGTGGGGTTTAGTTGGTGGGTGGTGTTTTTGGGTGTGTTTGGTGGGTTTTTTGTGTGGTTTGTTTTTGGTTTGTTTTTTTTTTTTTTTAGTGTGGTTGGACTTGATGATCTTGGAGGTCCCTTCCAACCACTAAGATTCTGTGATTCTGTGAGAGGGTGTAGATAACGAGGGAGTGAGGCTGTTCTTGGGAGCCATCAGCAACAGAGCAGGAGACAACAGGAAAAAGTTACAATTCGTGGAAATTCTGGTTAACTATACAGAAAACACTTTTCACTGTGAGGGTGGTTGGGCACTGGAACCAGAGCAGTTGGTTCATTAAAAACCAAACTGGGCAAGTGCCTTAAACCTCAACTTGTTTGCCCCTCTTTGAGTAGAAGATCGGGCTGCACGACCTCCAGACTTCACCTTTCAACTAGGATTATTTTCTAATTCAGGAGTTGTTGGGGAAGAAAGAATGGGTTTAACAGTTCTATTTTCTTGAAAGCAAAATACTGTTACAGTGATATTTACACTTGCAAAACTAACATCTTGTAGCATGTCATGAGAGCCGCATCTGTGAAACAAGCTGAATCCTGTGGACCACTGTAAGAAATGATAACAGTGCCAGTCTGTCAAGCTTTGGGCAGTAAGGTGGAGGCTGTAGAGTGTGACTTGTTCTACAGATTTGATTCTGTGTGATCCTGAAATGCATGCTGTGCTCAGTACTGTCAACTGCTGAGTTCTTTGATTGCCATCTCGCTCTGTGGCACTCCGAAAACGTTGCGACTTTTAGTCCGCAGTGTTCTATAATAACGCAGAATCACAAAACATCTGTCCAAAACTTACCAGCCCCTGATGTCTGGCTTGTCTTCACTTTATTCCACAGGGACAGCCTCCGGACCTAGGAAGAATGCAGCCATATCTCCTGCGCTGGTCAGCAGTGGCAAAGAGCTTGCAGCTGCAGTCACATCTCCAATCCGGCATGACACTTCACGGTAAGGCACTAGGTAATCTCTGGTTTAAGATTCTGCAAACACAACCATCAAATTCTCCTAGATGCAGGGAAGTGGCTGAATTTCTATGATATTTCACGTTAGCTGGATAATATAAACTAAAAACTGCCATATCCTTTTGACATTTATAGTAAGCCTTAAATTGCTTGTTAGAATAAGAAAAGCAGGAATATACCCAGTGCTAGCATTTTAATTTTACTTAGATTTTAAACAGAAAGCATTTTATGTTCCAAGTCCTGACACATTAAATACATTTGTAAATAATTTGAATGGATGGCATTAACCCCTGTTAGGCTTTAAATCCACTTGAAGATTTTAATCCCTCTGTGTTTGCCCCAACCCCCATACTTTATCAAATGGCATTTCTTTTAAAATGTTTTGTACCAGAGTTATTTTATGTTTAATGACAAGCAACAAAATCACATTAAGTCAGCAATTCCTGATCATACTATATATCTGCACTAAATGCACTGGAAAAGGAGCATTATCACTTCTGCTCCAATGAAGAAACAGAAAGCAGCAGCATTGTTACAATTACGAGTCTAAAAACAACTTGCCTTCTTTAGGCAGGATTACAATTCTAGCTGTAAGTACCTAGAAAAACAGCATACTTGCTTTTCTTTATCATATCCCAAATTTTCTCATAATAAAATCTTTAGTTGAGCAACAAAGTAGATGCAGACTGAAGTATGAATTTGCTGTATTTTGCACCACTGGTTAGATGACTTTGTGCAGTGGGATGACAAGAATGTACGACCATTCGTAAGAAGAGTTAAATGTTTCTTGGAGAAGGAGAGGGCTTGAGTCAGATTTAATCTTCTCTTGGCCCAGTGGACTAGGAAAATGTATGCTTGATATCATCCCTGTATGCTTGGCAGCAGCTGGCAGTTTATTTCTATCTTCTGAGAGAACTTGCGATATATAATAGGTGAAAAACCACTATCAATATTGACAAATTTGTACTTACTCGCTATGGAAACACTTTTTTTTTTTTCTTCTGAAGGAAGGGATGATAATTCTAGGAGGATTTGAGAACTGAGATAGATTGGACTCTGTTTCCCACAAGTAACTATATGTTTAAACAAGCAGAAACCGCAAGATTGCCTAAGCATTTCTCTTAGAAGCAAGGTTTACCTTCGCAAGCCAGTATTATCAGATAAAGTGTGTGTAAAGATACTGCTTGATACCACCCAATAGTGATAAGTTGATATTCCATTGAAGCACTGAGGAGTAGATATAATTATTCACATCATACAACAACTGTTCAGAAAAAGGAATTTTATTCAAGAGGATTGATGGCCCATTCTTCTCCACAGAGGGGAGTAAAATATTTGTTGAAATATGCTGTTAGAAATCATATCACATAAAGTAATCAGTAAAAGGAGTCTGATTAGCTGTCAGCCTTAAAGGTTTATTTTACCAGTTGATGTCGAATTTTGAAAACCCCTGCATTTCTGGGGTGCTCTTTCCCATGCTTCCTCTCTTTCTTTCTCTCCGTCGGCGCTGTAAGTAAAATTGACCAGGTTAAGCAGCCATGTTGTGCTTTCCCTTACTCATGGCCTTCTCTAATTGAAAATGGTAAATGGACAAGTATTTCTGTGGGGACCCAAAGCCGATCCTATCCTTCATCAAAAAACCTGCTTGGGCAGCAGGTCAGTCTCAATTTATCACTGACTGGTTATAAGCTTAGACTGCAGGTTTAACTAACTAAATTAATCAATATTGAGAATTATTGCTGTTTTTGTGCCACTAAAGTTAGGGTTTGTCAGCATGTTCGTTATAATCTGTGATTTGGGAGGGGGTTAACAGCTTAACCACAACAGTTGGCACGGGCCCGAAACTTGCGGCACGAAGCCCTAGCCCGAGAGCAAATTTATTTATTCGGCAGTACGTGTAAAACTAATTACTTTTGACTTTTTAAATTTATAGGACTAGATTCAACTCGTGTTTGTGCCAGCTTTAACTAGCACAAACCCTGGCACCCGGCAGTAGCAGCAGCAGCGGAAAGGCTGCCAGGGAGAAGGTGTTGGAAAGCGACAGAAGCTCCCTGCCAGCGCCGAGGCACCGGGGTGCTAGCACAGCTTCTGGGGAGGGCTGGCTGGGTAAAGCAGGCATGGCAGGTAGGAGATGCCTTGGCTTGATAGTCCGTCTTGGCAGGGCTCAGCTGGAGGCTTCAGTGAGTTACAGCTACCTCCTGCTCGAGGAAGGATGGCTGCAAGTCCTACTTTCTTCTCTCCCTCGGAACGGATGATGCCTGGAATGAGAAATGAGTGTCCCTAGAAGGCAGAGGTGTGTGCTTTGAGACCTGAGGTGTGTGCTAGACCTGTAGAAGGACCAAACTGGCAGAATGCATGTGTACAAGGTGGTTTCATTGATATCTCTGAAAGAAAAATAGCATTTCTTTACCTGGCGTCCTGAGTTGGGCTAAGGGTTTGCCCATCGTGCTTCTACACAGGCCTGTTGCTGCTCTTCGTCACACAGCCAAGCGTGGCATGTCTGGCTATCCAGTGTTCTTAAGCCAAGTTCCTACACCTGCATGAACCCCTTGGAATTATGTTCACAGCAGGTCTGGAAAGCTTTTCTACTCCAAGTGCTTATTTATCTAGACTCAAGCCCATGTATTTGGAGAAAGAATCGCAGCCAAGGTTGGGAATGGGCAAATTTGGAAGAGGAAGTTTGTTCCTTACCCCTAAAGCATAGTTCCTCTGATGGTCTTAAACATTACCTCTGTGGTGACCAGGGACATCTTTTTCATAGCTCTTGTTTTGCTAGAAGAAAGACTCTGGTGTTTGGCTGTGAGCTGGAAGGGAGCTGGAAAGGCGAGGCAGTGGCATTTGTATACTTTCATTCAGTAATGAAAAAGTTTTTACATAAACTAGGTCTTACCTGAGGTGTAATCAGGTACTGATTTCAGCAAAACAAGTGTTATGTTGCAAAAACAGAAATGGAACTGCTCTAAATCAAAGTATTCCTTTTTTTTAAAAAAAAAAAAAAAGTGTTGTAAATTGTGCCTTGTGAAAGACCATTTAATTTGATTACAACCCTGGTGCAATTGTCAGGCTCTCCCCACGCAGGAACAGTTGCAGTGTCGAGTTTGGCACAGTAAGTCTTATAACACTGCAGATAATCAAGCACTTAAAAAGACACAGGCAAAGGTTGTTCTGCTCACCATGGAAACAGATAATTCTCCTGTAACATTTTTCACTTTGGGCATCTAAGAAGTGAATTTAAGAACAGTTAGGTAAATTAAGGGATTGAGTGATAGCCTGGGATTTCAGCATTAAGCCTGTGTTTTCTTGTTGCAGTAAAATCAGAGCTTTAATGCTAGCTGAACGCATTGTCTTGGAGCGAAGTTTCTTGTAGCCATTAAAATAAGTGATTTAGAAGTTCCTGCAATATGAATACTATATTCAAGCTATATTATTATCTGTTAGACTACAGTGGCCTGTTGGAGTTCTTATAAACAGATTGTATTGTGTAAATTTGTGTTTAGGGACACTTTAAAAACGAAACTATTTACCCAATTGCCCAGCACATCTCAGGTGAATGTGTATTCAGGGACTTTTAAGCAAATTAATATCTGATGTAAAATATAATGTGCAGAGTTGTATACTTAATAATGCACACTGGAATAGTCTAGAGTGGGTCTGTTATGCTGAGTGCTAGGAAATACGACAGTGATGAGATTTAAGCTTTTGCCTTACTTGTGCTGTGGTGTTGCCTCTCAGGTCTGTGCGTGTTGGATGCTTAAATTCGGTTCTGCTCTTGAGACAACAGTATGAAGTTCTTTCTCCTGTAGGGTCTAAGCAAGCACTGCCAAAGAAATAGATGTTTTGATTTTATTTTTTTCACCCCACTTAGAATCAGACGCCATTCAAGTTGCAAAAGGACGACGGGGAGGAGAAAAAACTTTAATTCCAGATCTAACTTAAAGAACACTTAAAGGGATTAAAAGCGTGTTTGGAGCAGGGTGGTGAGTTAGGTGCTGAAGGTGGTAGGAGATGCAAGTTTTGCCTACTCCCCGAGAAAGCCAGCAGCACAAAAAGTCCGATATAGTTCCATATGCAAGTGATAAAACCAGACGTTGGCAAATTAATCTCTCTTATTCACAGTGTAGGCTGTTAATTGTTCTCTCTGCTGGCTGTCGATATAATGTGAAATTTTCATTCCCCATTCAAGATGGAAAAAGTTGTGGCTGAAAATGTTAACATTTGCATTTTTATTTGTTGATTTATTTAAAGGACAGCCTCTCTTACAGCAATCCATCACTCAGTGACACCCCAAATATGAATAATGTATTGTAGACTTGCGGTTACAATGTGTAATAAGTGCCAGAGACAGTAGAAGAATGTTAACTATGTTGCAAATGTAATATTTATCGACTCATAGTTTATTGCTTTCGAGGTTCAATAATACTGACCATAGGACATTAATATCACTTATCTTGATTTTAGTTGGGCACCTCTGTATGTAGAAATAACCCATCTATCTCATACTTACAAAATAAATGTGAATTTTACAGTGCTTTGTAAGAAGTGCATTATAGGTTTCTTTGCTTAGTGCTCACAATTCTCCTTTTCTGCCTTCTCATTTACTTATATATGACATTGATCCCACCGTAATTGCCTGACCCAGATGGTGAGCACCTCAGCACTCTTGTAGAGACTTTATTTACTGGCTGCATTATGATCTTGGGCCTCTGATGGTGTTTGGACCAGGTCTCTCTTCCTGTTAAAGACCAGTATGAAAAGAGAGTGTTAGAAGGTTTCCTAGTGCTTCTGTCGGAAAAGGCAATGGCTGAGAGGCTAAAACAGAGATTACTTCTCTTTTTGGAAAGACATGCATAGCAAATCTAAATAATTTCTCTTTTAGAGGATTGTGGCTATCAGAAATAGAAGTGTTTAATTAGGTCAACGGTTGTTATTATAGACTTGGCATTTATTTTACAGAGGAATTTTTAATCAATGAATGGAAATACATTA